GGAAAATATAACATATTACATTTAGGCCTGCTAGTTAATGGGATTTTGAAAACTAACAGTGTTAAAAATGAGAAAGAATATTTAAAGGGACTAGATTGTTGATTTAGAAGAAATATATGCTTTCTTTAGCATAGTTAAACTGCTAAGTTATGACTGTTTCTTTTCTGTTGTTTTGATATTGACATAAAATAGAATAATAATAGTATAGCACTGATAAAATGAAATGTAGTATTTAGAATATTTATGAATTAGTTTTACAAAGGGAATAGATACTTGGTCTAATATTGTATATTATTGAATACAAAATAAAATGGGGGGGAATGGGAATCTGTATGCAAATATGATGATGTGAGCGAGATATTCGGCTTGCTATTTTAAAATGTATGGCTCTTTTCTATGAAATTTGTTAAAAAATAATACACTTTGCCAAATCTGGGCAAGTCAACAAAAAAGAAAAAGAACCAATCAGAATATTAACATAACAACCAATGGATGCATCTGCCTTCAGAACCTTCTTGCACCCTGATTGGTCTACTTCGCAGAGTAGCCAATCAGACTGTGCAGTTTATGATACCAGGTTTAGATAGGGTTTAAACTCAAGCTCAGGCATTATGTATACACAATACATAACAGGAACTCTCAGTCTGGGGCAAGTGATGCTCTGTATTCTTTGTGCTTGGGGGGGAACAGTGGGTGGGCTTCTAGTGTCCTGGCCCCACTGCTGGACCTCCTGATGGCACCTGATATTTTTGGCCACTGTGTGACAGAGTGTTGGACTGGATGGGCCATTGGCCAAATCCAACACTGACTTTTCTTATGTTCTTATAGGGGTAGACCAGGCCTCTGGAGAACAAATCTACCAGCTCTTTTCCACTATATTGGTAGATGGGGCCTCCAGAGAACAGGTCTACCCACCCCAGTCCACTATATTGGAAGACCTAGCCTTGGACTGTCCCCCTGCACTGACCATTAGAAAACATACCAGCACGGGGGGGGGGGACTCTTGCAATCTAGTTTGGGGATTTTTTTAGTGAAATATGACAACCAGCATTACAGGTCAAGTATAACAGAGATGGAACAATCACTGTCAGAACACTGCCTAACCTAACAAACAGGAAGTTGCTTAAATGTTATCAACCTGTCCAAACTTTTTATTTATTCAGATGTTTTAATTTGTATTTTGTATGTTTTTATCATGTATTTATGTCATTGGAAGCTGCCCTGAGCCTGCTTTGCAGGGAGGGCGGGGTATAAATCTGACAATAAAAAATAAAATAAATAAATATTCATATTCCACTTTTCCCTGTGACTCAAGGCAGATTATAAATCATACTGAAAAGCATAATAGGGGTGTGCAACCCCCCCTTTTTTCTGGCTCAATTAAAACCTATGGGGACCATTATAGTCAATGGGCCCCATAGTCTATAATGGAGAATCAATCCAGGGGTATCTGGGGCTCTGAGGGGGGTGGGTTTTTTAGGTAAAGGCACCAAATTTGTGGCATAGCTTCTGGTGCCTTTCCTAAAAAAACCCTCCACGTTTCAAAAAGACTGGACCAGGGGGTCCAATTCTATGGGCCGCAGAAAGAGGCGCCCCCATCCTCCATTGTTTCCTATAGAAACTTGGTTGTGAGCAGAGCAGAAATCCTCTGAGCTGGCCTCCAAAATGCCACCACCCCCTAATGCAACTTAGAAGAAACTGTGCTTACCACCCTCCAACCATATCCTCAAATGCTTTTCTCCCAGCTGGGATCACTACTGTATTAGAGATTGGCTGAGGAAGAAGTGACATGCTTAAAGGACCAAATGAGGGGTTAGCACCTGCTCTTTCCACTTCTCTTTTCCACTTTAAAGTGGGCTCACATTTTCCATATGACCAAAGCAGATCCCATTTTAAACTGATGGAACAGCTGTTTGCATGCAGTTACAGCCTAACTCGAATTGGCTTGAGGACACTGTGGTAACTTACTGAGATCTGGTCTTGTGATCTGCAAAGCCACCTTTTAGTGCTGAAAACAGAAGTAAGACAACCCTGAGAAATTACTTATTTTTTTCTGGAAGAGTTGCATGATGTTTCCCCTCCTGTATCAGTTTCCCTTCCCTTTATCCATTTACCTTCTTGTAGATAGCAAAGATGGTTCCTATTGAAGCTAAGCAGTCTATATTGGACGAGCCATCAAGTGGATCAAAGCATACCACATATTTACCCTGTAAGAGAAGAAACAAAAGAAGTCTTAAGCAATCTGCTGCCAGATTCTAGGAATGACATACTTTGTTTGGGAGGAGCTATTTTAAAGTACAGAAACAGTTGTGCAAACAACAAACATCTAGCAGATCTGGTTGGAGAACCAACTGGCATTCTTGTGGTTCATCAAATACTACACAAGACATGGTGCCCTACAAAATGAAGGATGATGAAATGCCTGCTTGAAGAGTTGTCACAAAGTAGAACAAAGCCATAACATGGCAATGAGGAAAGACTGGCAGAATAGCAAAGCAGCACAACAGCTGGGTGCTGGCTCTATTTGCTGTTCTATTTAATGAGGAGGCTGGCTTACTCTGTCTCAAAGTAGTTTTTCTCATTCTGTTTATGAATGTAATGCTTAGTTAATGCTTTGACATTACCAACACATGAGTTTAATTTGACAACACACAGCTATATCTCTGAAATGCAACCCTGAATGTTGCTCAGAAGTAAATTCTACTTAATTTGATTTGTTCTCTATCCAGTGTGATTAAGACTGCAGTATAAGTTCTCCCATGGACACCAGACTTCAGTAGTTCAGCACTATTCTAACAAAACCATAAATCCTAGGATTCCATATTTGCATCCTTTTCTCTGTGGTTCGGTTTTAGCAATAGCACTCAGCCTTTATTACTTAGTCTTTATTAATTGGTTATTTCTCCATATTCTGATCTATATAATAGACTCCTTTTCTTTCAGTTTGCTATGTGGAGAACTTCTTTTCCTCCAGCGCCATCTGCTGCTTATTAAAAAAAAAAACAGTCCCCTTTCCCCAAACTCTTGGGATGAATACAGACCCTTTTCTCTTTGGGAGTGATAATAGCTTCTTTATTTTCCTCTGAAACCAGAACACAAGTACTATAGGAGGACTGCAGCATGTTGATAACCAGAGAATTGGATAACACATCAAGCTTCTTCTGTTCATCACCAGTCACGTTCACAGTGCCTGCTATTCCATACCTGTGAGAAAGTACATTATTATTATAGTGAGAAAATAAAGCCTGTAAGAATGTGGTTATTAACATTATGGGGATGTTTCCTTGCTGCCTTCTTCTCATTCTTTGCTTTTGAACCTGAAGTTATTTAGTGTACTGTCACTGGCTACACTACAGAATAATCACAAACAGTTCTCTTTTAAGGCCAGTAGCTTCTAAACCTTTTATATGCGAATGATGTTTATCCTGATTGGATATTTCTGTCCATAGGACTCATTTGCAAGATCACCTGCTTTCCAATGATATGTGCTATATTGTTCCTTTGATAAGTAGGCACAGCTCATACAATCAAGTGGTGACTTGCAGTGTCACCATAAGTAGAGTTATACCCTTCTAAGCCCATTGACTTCAATGGAATTCAAAGGGTGTAACTCTGCTTAGGATAGCACTGTTAGACTCCCAGCCTTCCACCTGCAACTGCACTACACTGCCAGATAAAAAAACTGCAACATTTGTGTAATTGTATGGCCGAATGAAATTAATATAGCAAACAATAATCTAATACAAGTAAATCTTTCATGTAACATCCATGAAGAAAGCTGGTAGAAGGAGCAGACAAATTCTTGTGTGATGAACATGTTTTTGCTTCCTTCTATTTGTCCAGCCTGATGATAGAGCCATCAAAACAATAATCAGTGTGTGCTATAGAATAACAATTGGTATGCCAGTCTACATTACTATGACTGTCACTCTAATGAAGGGCCTAGATGTAGGAAGGGTACTGGTTTTACACTAGATTTCCAGGGCAGGTAAATAACAATGAAGAAGAAAGTGGGTCACACAATTTTGCCAACTTTGTTTTTGTCTTGTTTTTGTTACTGTTTTTTCTATTACCAACAAATGTTAGAAATATGTTAGATAGTTCAATTCAATTCAATTTATTACAGGTCTATACGACCGAAGTCTTGACCAGAAGAAAATGCAAAAGGGGGGTAAAATAGGTACATAAAATTAACATAACATATCACAAGGTGCATAATCACAATCACATAAAACCCAGGCTGAGCCCAGAGATTAAAAATTACCTAACTACACTTGGGGCGGAGCCAACTAACTAAAATCATCCGAAGATTAAAAATTGTTGTCGGTTTTTACAGAGGTGCTAAAATTTTCAATGTTTCTTGAGAGCAGCAACCTTAGCCAGGAACCGCGCCTCGTTAGCTGTTATCAGTCCATCGGCATTTGAGTCAGATAACAGTACTGAAAGCACCCAAGGTTGATGTTAGATAGTTTGAGATGAGGTATATGAAAGCACCCAAGGTTGATGTTAGATAGTCTGAGATGGGGTATATGATGAAGGGAGGTTTGATTCTCGAAAGCCCTGAAAATGTGTTGGAGTCTAAAGGGCTACTGGACTCAAATCCAAATAATTTAGATGCTATTTGATCTATTCATTTTAATATTTTAAAAGTGCAGTGTCCATTTTCAGACTTGCAATTTGGAATGCTTCTTCTATTACATTAGAAGCTGAACTGACTGGCTTGACTGCTTGTTTGACCTTGACAGCTTTAGAAGTGGCACACAAGAACAGCAGAATAGTCTTGTTTCTTCAGGCTGCTGGATTACATGAACAACATTATGAATCCCATAGACATGGATGCCACCATTCCTACGATGGACTACCAGAATTCTGAGTGGGAGATGCTCCAGTTGTCTTGAAAAGTATATTAATAACACATCTCCAACATCATCATTCTTGTGCATGAAACAGCTAAAACAATACCATCAGGGAACAATGGCAACAGGTTTTGGTTATGCTTATATTTGAATCAGATTGTTCCCCCTAAACTGAACACTGGCCAAAAAAATTACTTATAGCTGACTATTTAAGAAGAACACTCTATACTTTTCCAGTCGCAAAGGCTTGTGAAAGCCATCCACTTCATTCCAGTCATGCTGAACTCTCAAAGTGCAATTCACACTCACTAATATTTTAGAAGCAGCAAGCTCAATTTAAAGTATGCCTTTCCCATCATAATGGCACCCCATCCAAATCTTATACATTTTAATTTCTCCCACATTCTGGCAACTCACATGTGAGCAAGGCCCGCTTTTCGGACTGTCGAAGAGATGGCCTTTATAGCAGTCAACATCGAGTTCAACAGCTGAGTAAGTTCCCCTGTCGCACCTTTAACCCGTCGTCCCTTCTCCATAACATATCGGTTAAGGGTTAACATGTCTGTTTCCAATGGTGTTCTGTCTGACATCCTGGCAAGCAATCAGGCCTGTTCTTTTTGGTAGAAATTGGTGGTTCCTTCCCGCTTCAGTCGTTGCTGCTGTTCTGCAGCAGTTTTATTTTAAGGAGTAGCTGATGGCTTGCGTGCTAGACAGGGTTTACTAAAAGGTTCCTGGGTCCATGTGACTTAAATGCTTGGAATAGATAGGCAGGGCAACTGCTCTTGGTCTTCCAGGCTACCACTAAGCAACTGATGTGCTGTTGAAGAAACTACACTTCCTCTTGTGTAGCTAAAGCATCAATTGTCCTCCAAGCACTGCAAAACCCATTTCTGTGCAAGAGATCTCAGGTATATTATCAGATAATGTTTTTCCTAAAGTTTTTCTCCTCTTGGCACCTTTTAAAAAGAGAAATATATGCAACTAAATTTGGCTATGATAACAGGGCCAGTGTACACATACGATGTACATGTACCCCATTTATTTGAAAGGAAGATACACACACACTGCCCCTCAGAGTGCAACTAAGAAAAACAGAACATCATCGTAAGTTCACATACAAGTTCTGGTGATGTGGTGTGTGGTGATACAGGCAGGCTAGGTTCTGCCTTGCCCTAAAAGTGACCAATGATAGCTGACATAATGTCGTGGAGAGACAATTGGAAAGCAACCATTAGGAGAGGAGTTGGGAGTGAGCAGCAAAGGAGTTGAGAGGGAAAAGAGGATGTCTGACTGAGTGAAACTGTGAAAAAGAGCTGCTTAGAGCTGGTTGAAAATAGGCAGTTTGTAATGAAGGATCCCAGTTACGGGAGTAGGACCACAGCTCAGATATTTCACAGAAGCAAAACGTAACTTCAACCTTACTTTCTTCAGTGTTATGTTCATATCCTAAATAAAAGTTAACTTCTTATTTTGTTTAACCCTTTGGGCCATGTGTCTCAGAGAAAGAAATACATGTACAAGTGAATAACTCAGTCTATATATGTATTATAGGCAGGGGTCATTTCGTAGAAAAAGAGCTAGGGGAACTCATTAGCATAACTCATTAGCATATGCCACACACCCCTGACATCACCAGAAGTGTGACATAAGGCCACACACCCCGCCCCCAATGGTCCCGGCTGCCACCGCCGGCCTTGCAGCTCCACTGCCGAGCCCCATGAGGGCAGGCAGGAGTGCAAGGAAGCCCTGCAAAGGCCCTCCCTGGCCCCAGGCAGGCAGGGGTGGGGAGAGGCAGGGAGGAAGCAACTTACCCTCCCTCTTCTCCTGCCTCCTCCTGGCTGAATGAAGGCCAGAAGCGGGGCGGCCGGAAGCAGGGGGCGGGGCTTCGTCATGTGCGCCGCCCCCCGTACCTCACCCGGGGGAACTGCGTTCCCCCGCGTTCCCCCCCGAAATGACCTCTGATTATAGGATAAAAATAAAAGGTGGCAGCTTGTGAATGGAACAGTGTTTGAGCTCCCAGTAACTCTGTGTTAGTGAGGGCCTGTTATTAAAGAGGTTTGAGCTACCCTGTCTGCTGATGTCTCCCTGAGAGAAAGGACCTGAGAGGAGAAATGTTCAAGGCTCTCTATATATTTTAAAAGAGAGGAGAAGGGTGACAAATGTGACGTCTGGACCTAATTGTAACCCTGAATCTAGGAGAGGTTGTAGAGGTAAGCACTCTGTGTGAGTGGAGAAAGAGTGACTCATACAGTAATTGTATGTATATGTATAACTTTTTTATTTAACATTTTTATTGTAATTATACAAAATATATTAATAACATTCAGTTGAACAATATTTACAATAATATATAAATATATATATTTCTATATTTTCCAAGTATAACCAATATTTATTATTATACATTATATTATAAATATTTCTTATTAGTGTCCAATAAGTAAGTTATCTATTATTTCCAGAACTTCTCCTTGAGTTTGCAAATACTCTTTAATGGGAAGCCGTACTGAAAAGATGGTTCTATCATTATTTAATGATATTGATTGTATTGAGTGATTAATTTTTTCCATTACATATATGTTCCAAATTTTTCCATGCCATAAAGTTATAGTTGGAATTTGCTCAGATTTCCATTTATGAGTGATTGCTGCTTTTGTAGCATAGAGAAATAAGGTCAATTTTTTTTTTTTTGCGACGTTATGTGTTTTAATGTTTTCTCTGAAATTTAATAATAAAGTCTCTGGTTTCATTGGGATTTCCACATCTGTAATAATTTTTATTCTTTCCAGTATGTTTCCCCAAAACACTTATTTTAGGACAAAGCACCCAACAGTGCATGTATGAACCTTTCTCTCTACAATTTTCCTAACAATATGGTTGTATTTCTTTATTAATATGCAATAATTGTAAAGGGGTTGTGTACCAAAACGTCATAATTTTTGAAATTGTTCCATATCTTTCCCCATGTTACTTTAACAAAGTTTCTTTCATTCTTTTTCCCATCTAGTCTGATATGTTAAAGATTTTTCCTGTTTTAGATTTATCATAATTTGATATAATTTCATAATAATCCTTTTCTTATTATTTGCCGTTGAATTTATAATCAATTCAAAACTTGTTAAAGATTGTTTTATTATTGTTAATAATTTGATAGTTAAATAGAGGTGTTTAATTTACAAATATTGTTGCCAAGAGCTTGATTTTCCTATTCTGGCTTCAAAAATTGCATGATTGTCCCCAAATGACCTATATATATATATTCATGAAGTGTGGAGGTTCTGTGAGCTAATCTAATGACACTTGAAATCACCTGTTCCTTGAAGAGTAAGAGACAGCTACTAATCGACCCCAAAGAGATGATTCACTTTTTCAGGAGTGACTTCCCAGGATCTCATGAGCACCTGCACTCTACTTATGAAAGAGCAAATAAAGAGCTGTCCAAGTCTTAAAACTGGCCGGCAGCAGTTCTAAATTTAGCTTAGTAAGGGAGGAAGTTAACCTGTGCTGATATTGTGATGGCCTCAAACTGCCTTGTCAATTGATGCATATTCTCTAGTTCATTATAGTTTTTATCATACGTTTGGTCCAATAAAGTGTGGCAATCCAGAATGGCAGCAATGAAGTTATGAGCTGAATTCATTTCTGTCAGCTGGCATTTGAAGTCCATAAATTGAATCACTCAGTTCTTCTCTCCTGCTCCCAGTAATGGCTATCCTTCACATTCATTAGTTAGTTGGGGACTTGGTGCTCAAAGATACTCAGCCTTTAGAAACTGGAAGACAGTTTATTTCAGTGGCTGGAAAAGGGTTCTGTAAAGCTTGAATGATAAAGCTCTGTAAAGAGGGAATAATATTAAAAGTGCTTACTGTGCATTAATGTTTCACATGCTGTTATCATTGAAGTGCACTGCTAACTCTAGCATTACACCACTGGAAGATTTTGCAGCTCAATAGATCTATGTTTATTTAAGAAGTAAGTCTCATAATTGTTTGTGTAAGTATGATTTGGATTCTTAATGTACATTCTGAGCCAGCATTCCTTTAAGAGCTTACTTTGGAAGACTACAGAAGACTTTGGAACTATTTCAGACAAAAAATCCAAAGCAGTGAAATAAAATAGGAGTCCAGTGGCATCTTAAAGATTAAAAAAGTGCAATGCTAAACAGAGTTAAACCCTTCTAAGTCACCTGAAGTCAACTGGCTTAGAAAGGATAGCTCTGCATGGGATTGCACTGAAAATTTGTTCCAGTATAAACTCTCATGAGTCAGAGCTCACTTCATCAGATGCATTGGATTATACATCCATCAGGCTGATGTTTTTATATTCACAACAGAAGGGCAGTGTTTGGGTATAAGGAGGTGCTACAAAGAAAGACTGGTTTGAAATAAGATCCTATAAAAAGAGTAATCAGTTGTGAATATAAAAGCACTGACCAGTTGATGTACATTTAATTTCATCTAAAACTTATGCTGCAATAATCCGTTAGTTTTTAAGATGCCACTGGACTCCTGTTTTATTTTTTAGAGTAAATGATTGCAGCAACCTCACCCCAACCCCTTTTGCACTTCTGTATCATATCATAAACTATGCTGATTGCATAGTTTAATCCACCATGAAAAGCTGTGGATCTGTTAAGTTTAAAGATTTGGCCACAAACATAACTTTCTGGTAGTGTTTTCCCAACATTCCCTTTCATCTCAGCAGAACCTGTATGTTATTTAGCTGTAGTGGAAGGACAGTACCCTAAAACTGAGCCTGTGGCTCTTACTGTTCACATTAAACAGAAAGCCAAATTTAGCAGCCCATAAACAATGGGAGAGGGGGTTGTAATTCACTATTGAAATGGATCATTTTATTGACTTTTAATTGCAAGCCTGATTTAGTTCTTTCAAATAGTACAGTGGCACTGATTTTTAAAACAAAAGACCACATGAAAAACTTTGCAATGTTTTGAGTACTGTGCTCTTGACATTCTTAAAGGAAAATAAGCTGCTGGTTCTAACTGTAGTCTTGCAATTATGTACTTTATGAAGGAAGCATGGACAATACATTAAGACAACCAAAAATATTTCTAGGACACTATGGCTGTGGTCAGACGACAGGCTTGGCGAGTTCTGGCCCCACCTCTAATTTCTCCGTTTTGTTTTGTGACTGAGAATTTGGATCAGACATCCCACCCTGAAGCTGCCTCACCATGCACTCACTCCGTGGTTGACCATTCAGATTACTCCTGTGCGGTAACCATGGAGTGGATGGTATGGCAGCATCCTTTTAAAAAAAAATTGTCTTTCATGCATGCACAGAAGTGTTCATTTGAATCATCCCTCAATTCTGACAGCTCCATCATCCCTCTGCCAAATATTGTGGCCCCCTCAGCCTCCTTCACTTCTCCTCTCTTCCTTGGAATACATGGGGAGGGGAGTGCAGATTTATACAAGAGTAGCCCCATTTACCATTTACCCTTGTGTCAATCATGGGATGATCTCAAACAGCAACTCTGAAGCAGAAACAGAAGACATGGGTTGGGGGGGGGAGATTTGTTCCTCCCAATCAGGAATGACTACTTGGCCACTTGAAAGTGGCGATTGACAATGCCGGGGGCAATTATGTGCTTGTTGCTAAGAAATCCAAAGACAGAAGGGAAGGTTCACACTCCCAACCAGCTTCATTTTGCAACAGGGAAGTTGAGGCAGCCAGAAATGCAGG